AGTCAAGCCTGGGACTGACCCGTGGCAGAGCCGCATACAAGTCCCGGCTTGGAGGGCAGAGCCCTCCACACAATTAAGCTTGGCTTAGTCCTCCCTTTTCCTGGGGAGCTAATGGGCTGTGGGAGGTGCAGCCAGTGCTGCCAGAACAGTGAGAAGTAGGTTTGAAACTCAGAGCGGTGGGCTGGGAGGCAGAGCCCAGCTTGAGGCCTGGTTTGTCCACTTGCTGTATGACAGTGGGCAAGTCATTTAGCCTCTCTGAGCCTCAGTTTCTGTGGTTTTAAAATGAAGATGGTGTGACCAGTGGAATCGTGGCCTCCCACAGATGTCCATGTCCCGATCCCTGGAATCTGAGAAAATCACATGGCAAAGGGGACCTGCAGATGTGATTAAAATTGTGTTGAAATGGAAGAGCCGATGGGCCCAGTGTGGACGATGGACAGGAAGGGGGAAATGGTCATTTCCGACGGGCTCTGCCCACCTGCCTGCCTGCCTGTGCCAGCTGGGAAGATGGAGAAAGCGGGCGGGAGCCAGGAGCGTGGGGACCTCCGGGACCTGGGACAGCCTCGGAGTGGTGCCAGCAAGAACACCTCAGTCCTACAGCAGCAAGCACTGCATTCGCCAACACCCTGCGGGCGGCCGCAGCTGCTCCCTTAGAGCTCCCGGAGGGGAACGCAGCCGGCAGACGCTCATCATCTTTGTCCCGTGGAACCTGGACCAGACCTCTGACCCTGGCACATCCCGTCTGATCCATGTTTCTCACATGGATGTTCCTCTTCCTTCCTCGCTCTAAAATCAATTAAAAAAATAAGCTGAGTTCCTGGGCCAGTTTCCTGCTCGCTGTTCTGCCTGTGAGGAGGGCTGGGCAGCAGGGGGAGAAGCACCCTCCCTTACAGGCCTTGTCTGTGGGGGTGGGTTTGTTCAAGCGGATTCCTTCTGACTCCAGAGCAGCTGTGCTCCCTGTCCTGTGAGTCCCAACCTCAGCCTCGCCTCCCCCGTGCTCCCTCCCATCACGGACTCCCCCCTGGAGTAAGGGAGGAGAGGGAGGAGTTGTCTCGCAGCTACTTTTAAGAGCTAATGAGATAGTTGAAGATAAAAACATTAGGCTTCAAGATCTAGTAAAGCCTAGTATGTTTTTGTCATCCACTGTCACATTAGCTCTTCACAGCTGCAATTCACTTCTACTGGCGGAAGAGCTGGTCGGCATGGCAGACTTGATTGTTAAAACCTGGGAAGGAAATGAACTGTTGGGGGGGTATAGGGGCCAGATTGGGTGGGTCCTTTGCTTTCTTGACATTGGAAGAAACCCAAGGCTCAGAGAGCAGGTGAGCAGGCATTGGCGTGCTTCCGGGACCCAGATTTGACGCTGGTAGTGCGGCTGTGGGAAGGTCACCGGGGCTGTGGTGAGCCCGGGCACCAGTGCACCGGCTCCAGGGCTGGACCAAGCTCACCACCACGTTCGGTCACATTCCGCTCCTGCACCGTGACAGCGGAGGGGCTGCCTGGGCCTGAGGCACCGCTCCCTGATGACCACGGCTGTCTGTCCTGCAAAAGGCAGGAGCGGAGCCCGGGCTACCGCCTAACAGTAGCCTCAGCATCCACGGCCTTGCCACTTTGTAACCTTTTAAAAAGTATACATGCTTCAATGGCTTTCAGGGAGGGAGAGGGATAGATAGAAACATCCATCAGCTGCCCCTCAAACACCCCTCCTGGGGGTTTAGCTCAAAACCCAACAATGAGCAACGACCCCACTTTGTAACCTTTTTACTTTTAGGTAATTCACCTGCAACTTTCACATTGCACAGAAGCATCCTGTGTTCCCTTGACCCAGTTTCCTCCATCAGTAACATTTTGTAAACTAAAGTACAGTCTGTACTAAGGATATTCATATACAGTTACATACAAATGTTTCGCCCTGGCCAGTGTGCTCAGTTGGTTGAGCATCATCCTGGGAACTGAAAGATCTTTTTTTTTTTTTTTTTTTGTAAAACAAAATTTATTTGTAAAACAGGACCTGTTATATAAAATGGCACACAATCGAGTTATACAAAAATACAAAATTTCTTTCTGATTACAGTGCTAGTTGCGAATGATAATCAGAAAGCATTAAAGCATTCCTGGCGGTTTCCAAATAGTTGAGATTGCGAGCAGTTGGAACAGGGAGCAGCAAGGGTCCGTGATGCTGGGATGTCTGAGCAAGCAGAACCCAATTTCCAAATTCAAGACTTCCGCCAGGTCACTCTGGAGGGACACCTCCTGAAATAGCTAGCTCCTCACAGGTCTTCTGTTTTGATACTCATCTTCCAGATTTTTGCCAATCATAAATTTAGCTCCCAATGTTCCTTAATGTCCCAAATCTATGTGGCTACGAAACAGAAGGTATTCTGAATTTTCTTAGATGATTTGCTCTCTCACCTATTTGGATAATTTTTGTTAGTTACATAATCATATTTATCCCTTTTTGCTGATATAAAATAGTACAATGATACAGTTTGTCAATGTTAGATGTTAACATCTGGAGAATTACTGTTTTCAAAATAGCGAGTTTCACAATGTTGGTTTCCCAGATCTTGCCAAGACATGAGCTCCTAACTGTGTGTTTTCTTTTTTTAAAATAAAATTTCTGATTCTTATTGCAAATATTCTGAAAAATCAGAAATATTACACGAGCTTTGAAAAGAAACCAAGGCATTTTAGCAAATTTTAGCCTAGCTAAAGAACACACAGATACTTAAAGGAAAAAATAAAATTTACCTTTTGCAGCAATTAAAGGTCCAACCCTTTGAAAGGAAGCACATTAGCAAACAGCTGCTTATTAATCCCTACTGACATTAATTGTATGCATTTCCATAATACCGGTCCAATTCACTGTCTAATTCTGGTAGGAGATAATGCTTTCTGAAAGATCTTTTTTTAAATCCTCACCCAGCCCTCGCCAATTTGGCTTAGTGGATAGAGCTTCGGCCTACAGACTGAAGGGTCCCGGGTTCGATTTAGGCCAAGGGCACGTGCCCAGGTTGTGGGCTCAATCCCCAGTAGGGAGCATGCAGGAGGCAGCCAGTCAATAAATCTGTCTCATCATTGATGTTTCTCTCTCCCTTTCTCTCTGAAATCAATAAAAATATATTTAAAAAGTCCTCACCCAAGGAGTGAGGATATTTTTTCCATTGATTTTTAGAGAGTGGAAGGGAGGGGGGTGGGGAGGAAAGAGAGAAACGTTAACACCCATCAGTTGCCTCCTACTGGCGCTCTGCTGTGGCTGGGGATGGAACCTGCTTCCAGGGAATCAAACTAGTGACCCTTTGAGGGCTGACATTCTAACCCAGTGCTTCTCAACCTTCTTAATGCCGCGGCCCTTTAACACAGCTCCTCACGTGGTGACTCCCAATCACAGTTATTTTCGTTGCTACTTCATAACTGTGATTTTGCTACTGTTACGAATCATAATGTAAATATCTGTGTTTTCCGATGGTCTTAGGTTGTTCGACCCCCAAAGGGGTTGAGACCCACAGGTTGAGAAGCACTGCTCTAACCACTGAGTAAAATAGGTCAGGGCCAAAGGTCATGGGTTTGATTCCCAGTCAGAGCACATGACCAGGTTGTGAATTCAGACTGATCAGGGACAGAGGGTGTATGGATGGGTCAGTTTCTCTTTCTCTTATCCTCTCTCTAAAAAAATCAATAAAGCCAGAACCGGTTTGGCTCAGTGGATAGAGTGTCGGCCTGCGGATTGAAGGGTCCTGGGTTCGATTCCGATCAGGGGCATGTGCTGTGGTTGTGGGCACATCCCCGGGGGTGTGCAGGAGGCAGCAGGTCGATGTTTCTCTCTCCTCATCGATGTTTCTAACTCGCTATCCCTCTTTCTTCCTCTCTGTGAAAACTCAATAAAGTATATTTAAAAAAGAAAATTAAAAAAAAATCAATAAAAACATATGAAAGCCCTGGCCCATGTGGCATCACCAGTGCACCAAAAGGTTGCTGGTTCAATTCCCAGTTAGGGCATGTGCCCGGGCGTGTAGGCTCAGTCCTCTGTGAGAGGACTGCAGGAGGCAGCTGAATTCTGGTTTCTTCTCTCTCCCTCTCTATAAAAATCAATTTAGAAAACATATTTAAGAGATACAGAGCCTTAGCTGGTCTGGCTCAGTCGGCCTACGGCCTGAAGGGTCCCAGGTTCAATTCTGATCAAGAGGTTGTGGCCTGGGTCCCCAGTGTGTTGGGCGGGCAAGAAGCAGCCAATCAGTAACTTTCTCTTATCACTGATGTTTCTCTCTCACCCTCTCCCTTCCTGAGATCAATAAAAATTAAAAAAAAAGATACAGAATGTTTCATCTCCACAAGGATCCCTCCAGCTTCTTTTTTACAACCACACCCACTTTCCTTAAACCCTGGCAGCCACTAATGTTTTTCATTTTTATCAACTCGGTTTTTTTTTTTTTTGGTTTTTTTTTACTATTATTTCCATTGATTTCAGAGAGGAAGGGAGAGGGAGAGAGAAACATCAATGATGAGAGCATCATGGACCCGCTGCCCCCGGCACGGCCATAGCCCCACACGGGGGTGGGGAGCTCTGACGGGGAATCGCCCGTGACCTCCTGGTTCACAGGCCGCCGCCGCCAGGTCCCGGCTTTTAAGAGACCCGCCTCCCTCCCAGCGGGAGCGCCGCCCCGGTTCGGTCCTCCCGCCCGAGGCGGAACCAAAGCCGCCGAAACCGAGGCTCTCTGAGCGAGTCTCCTCTGCCCGGAGCCCGGAGCCCGGAGCCCGGAGCCCGGAGCCCGAGCCCGGAGCCCGGAGCCCGGAGCCCGGAGCCCGGAGCCCGGAGCCCGAGCCCGGAGCCCGGAGCCCGCCGCCTCGGGCCACTCCCTCCCCCGCCTCCCCTCCATCGCACAGGCCGCCTCCGGAGAGGAGGCTCGGAGGCCGGGGAGCCGGAGCCGCAGGTGCGGCGGCGGTGCGGCGGCGCCGGGCCTCCCAGCCCCTCCGCGGCCCGGCCCGGGGACCCCGTTGCTAGGGGCGTTGCCAGGGAGGGGTCACGAGGAGGGGCTCTCTTCCGGAGGAGGACAACGGGTGACCCGGAAGCGGTCGGCAGTGCGGCGCTGTTTAAAGATGGCGGCGGAGGAACCTCAGCAGCAGAAGCAGGAGCCGCTGGGCAGCGACGCCGAAGGTACCGGCTCCGGGAGGACCGCCCGGCCGGGGCCCGGGGCGCGATGCGGGGCCGCCGGCTGCCGGGGGGGCGGGGGGCGGCGCGGCCGGCGGCCGGGACCGGGCGCGCGAACCGCCCTTTCTCCGCCGCCGCCTCCCCTCCCCCTCACAATAGAGGAGCCGCCGCCGCGACCCCCGTCCGGGCGGGCGGGGCGGCCCGGCCCGCGGCCCTTCCCCTCGCGCCCCGGGGCGGGGCCTGGGCCGCCCCGCCCCCCGCCCCCACCCCCGCCCCCTCCCCCGCCCCCCGCGGGGCTCCGGCTCCGGGTCCGGGTCCCCTGCCCGCGGCCCGGTCCTTGCCCGCAGGCCGGGGCCCGCCGCCCGCCCGCCTTCTCCGGGGCAGCGGCGCCCGAAGGCAGCGCTCCCCGGGCCGCGGGCACAAAGGCCGGGCGGCCGGGATGCTGCGGGCGGGGGTGAGCGGCGGGCGTGTGCCCGGAGGACTGCCCGCCTCCCCGGGGAGCCCCCTCCTCCGGCCCCGCAGCCCTGCCCGCCCGCCTGGCCATTGTTTCCTGAGACCTCGGGAGAGCGGGGCCTTTCAAAATGGTGTCACTCGCTCCATTTTCACTCGCGAGCTCGGCCCTGGGAACCGAGTCGGTCCCCTGGGTGGAGGGACAGTCATTGCCGAGGCCCAGCTGCGGACCCGGGCTGCTCAGGCCCACGGTGTTGGCTTCAAAGTTAGCGCACCCTCCCCCCCCCCCCCCCCCCCCCCGCCCCGTCCCCCTTTAGCCCCACACTCCAGGGACAGCCCTGGGAGACCCGCCCGGGGAAGGTCTTGTTCGGGGTCACGTCCGTTGAGGAGCCAGGACCAGCAATCCTGGCCGCTGGCTGCTCATCGAGCCCCTCGAATCCCCGCTCCCTGTGATGTCACCGAGGGCCGGAGAGGTGGCCCCCGCACCGGAGGGAGGCCCTGCAGGAGGGAGGCTGCAGCGAGGCGGCGGGAGCGGGACTGGGAGGCGCTCAGCCTTGGGGTTGGGCAGGCCTGGGTTCCATCACAAGCCTTTGCTAGCTGTGACCTTGGGCAGGTTACTTCACCTGGGCATTGTGTTACCTGTGAAGTGGGCACCATTGAGAATACACAGGGCTGGGGGGGGGGGGGGGAGATGGGAGATATCTGTAACTATCAACAATAAAAATATCAACACTATCAACAATAAAAATAAGTAAAAGGGTGCACAGGGCGGCAGGAGGAGGAAGGGCGTGGTCAAGCAAGTGCAGGCTCACAGGAATATTATCCAGCCCAGGATCTGCCTCCTCTTTTCCCAGGGGATCCTGCCCGCCTGCCCCTGAGCACTCCCGGCCTGTGGGGGAGAGGGGTGCTAGAGGGGAGGACACACCTTGGGGTGACCGCCTCTGCCCTGCATGTCAAATGGGGGAAAATAAGGCCTTGGAGAGGAGGGCTTTGCCAGAAGAACAGGTGGTGGAACAGGATGTGAGGTGCCCGCTTCCAGATTGCAGGCTGCTCTCCTGGCTGCTCTTGTCCTTGGTCCAGCGGCCTAGAGGAGCTAGCCAGGCCCCGGTAATCCTTGGCTGCTTGCTTCTTCCAGGTGTTAACTGTCTTGCCTATGATGAAGCCATCATGGCTCAGCAGGACCGAATTCAACAAGAGGTGAGGGCTGTGGCCAGCGCTCTGTGATGGGTGCATAGGCTGGGCCTGCGGCCTGTTGTTCTTCTCTGCTTGGGAGCCCTTTCCTCTCCAGCTGGGCTAGAGACGGGGTGCCTTCAGGCGGGGAGGGGGGAGGGTCTGTCCCTGAGCCACCGGGGGCCTGGCCCAGCACCCTTCCATCAGGGCTCGGTGTTCTGGGCCAGGCGTGACGGTCTCTGCCCCCTGCAGATTGCTGTGCAGAACCCTCTGGTCTCAGAGCGGCTGGAGCTGTCTGTCCTGTACAAGGAGTATGCTGAGGACGACAATATCTACCAACAGAAGATCAAGGTGGGAGCCCAGCGTGCGGGCAGAAGTGGGGGTGGGAGCAGGAGCAGGTCTACATCAGACACCTCCTCGCTGGGCCTGGCCTCTTAGAGGGTGGAGTGTGGGGGAGCCCTCTGGCTGCTGGAATCACAGGACCTGGATTTAAATCTTGACTCTGCCACACGGCAGCTGCATCCTTCAGGCCCTTTACCGCCTCCGGCCTCCGGCCTCCTGTCTGTGAGTGGGGGAGATGGAAGCATGGCCCACGGTTGTTGAGGGCAGTTGAGAGGCTGGTGGGGCCTGATGGTCTCGGTGCTCACAGTGGGCCGCATGGACTGGGGGTGGAGACTAGACCTTTGTGCCAGGTCCTGCTGCCTCGTTTACAAACAGGTAAGCCCCTTAACGGCTCACTTCTCTGGAGCTCGGAGGCAGAGATGTGGCAGTGGGTTTGTGTAAACAGTAACCCAGTAACATGACAGCCTGGGGTTTAGTAAGTGTCACTTTCCCACCTCCCCCGAAGGATCAGAGACGCTTAGACCCTTCTATCCATGTCAGGGCCAAGCTGGTAACCCAGTGATGGAAGGTGGTCAGGCGCAGGGTGAGTGGCACCACAGTCTGCACCAGACGGGCAGGGCATGGAAGCACCTGGGCCCATGGGAGGGACTGTGGCTGTCGCTCCATTGTTGCCAGATCTGTTTTTCCCAGAGAAGCCAGAAATCATTTTGATAAAAAAAATCTCCAGGTTCCTAACACTTGGCAGGTGGTTCAAATTTAAAATGTTACGTGGATTACCCTAGCTTAGGGGTGTCGAACTCAATCAGAGAAGGGGCCAAAATCTAAAATCCAGCCTAAATCACGGGCCGAATGGTTTACTGAACAGTCATAAACTGTCATTGTGATGGAAATGCAGCGGAGTGCAGTGATGACAGCGCGGTGCGGGCCACATTGCAAGGCCTGGCGGGACGGATTTGGCCCGCGGGCCTTGTGTTTGACACATGTGTGTTGGTTTGGCTCAGTGGATACAACACCGTGGACCGAAAGGTCCCAGGTTCAATTCCAGTCAAAGATTGCAGGCTCCGCTCCAGGCAACCAATTGATGTTTCTCTCAAAATTTCTCTTTCTCTCTCTCTCTAAAAAATCAGTGGGAAAATATCCTCGGGTGAGGATTTAAAAAATAAAATGTTATGTGGATCAAACAGTACATACAGCTGTGTGTGGCCTGTGGTCTACTCTGCCCCTTGCTTAGGGTGTTTGTGATTTGCCCCAGGTCTGTGGAGAGTGACGGTACTGGTTCTGGGGCCTGACAGCCGGGGTCTGAGTCCTCTTCACCACTTCCAGCGGTGTGGGCTTAGGCAGCCTGGGCATCGCTGGGCGGAGTCCCACCTCACCGGGCGAACATGATGCTGCAGGGAATGCCGGTGGTCAATCTGAGCTCTGTGCGCGGGGCACGGCCAGGGCCTAGCCAGCGCAGGTCTCTCCTCTCCCTCACGTGGTTGGTTGGTGCGGTGGGGCCTTATTGTAGGACTTCCCTGCCACACTTAGGCTCCCTGGTAAATCGACGGGGGGTGTCTTGGGTTCTTTCCCATCGAGGCATTCAGCGAATGTCTGAGTGTCAGCATGCTGTGTGTGCAGAACTGACTCCGCACTCTGCTGTGCCTGAGCATAGGCGACAGAGCCTACACAGCTGGTGGCTCTGCGAACGGGCCCTCGGAGGTCAGGAGGATATGGGTGCTAGCCCTCCCCAGAGGCCTGGCAGGGAGACTGCTCAGCAGGTTCTGGGCGCTCCCTGAGCTGCAGTGCTTTGGGCTCTTGTCACGCTTGTGAGCCGTTGTCTTCACAGTTATGAGCACAGGCTGTGGGCCGGGCACTGTTTGGGCCCTGAAGACGGAGGGATGACCACCACTGGCAAACTCCTGCCCGCATGGAGCGGAGTGGACAGACAGAGCAGCCAAGGGCAGCTGGGCGGCGGTGGATGACTGAACTGAGCATGGGAGGGGGCTGTGGCCGCTGGGCAGGGGTACATGGTGGTTGGAGTGCGTGGAGGCGAGTGGGGAGCAGTTGGCTGTGGGAAATGGGGCTGCGACTGGAGAAAGGACGTGGAGGAAGCGGAGGGTATCAGCAGGTTTCTGGGCTGCGCAGGTGGCGGGGTGAGAGCAGGCTGAGCACAGGTGGAGGCCGGGAGACCTGATGGAAGCTTTGCAGTCGGATCAGCAGGAGGCGGAGTTAAGCAGTGACAGGTGCGGGGTGCTGGATGCATCTGAGACAGAGCCGGAGAGTCTGCGCTGGGTGTGGGGTGAGGGTGCAAGGACCGAGGCTTTTAGGGAGTGGGGGGGGGGGGGGCAGCTGATGGAGGGGAAGGCCGAGAGGAGCGGGCACGGGGGGATGTCAGCACCTGCTGCTGGGCTGGGCAGTTAGAGGCGGTAGATGAGGCAGCTGGAGGTGGGAGCTGAAATTGGAGGTCAGGCCTGAGATAGGGCAGGCGACGAGTTACATTAAGGCTACGGTATTTAAATCCCAAGATGGATGACATCAAGAGGGTTGACAAGCGGAAGCTGTCCCGGCCTGAGCAGGGTTGTGCCTGCACCTGACGGTCACTGGGATGGATGTGTGTGGTGACCATCTTCCGCAGGTGACACGCGTGTCGTGAAGGGTGTGGTGGTTTGGTGGTGACCCTGACCATCACAGGTCAGAGGGACGAGGCGGCGTGGCAGTGAGGGCCGAGGACAGGAGAGGGTGGGGAGGAAAGCGTGGAGGTGTCTTGAGAGGGGGCTTAAGGAGGAGAAGGGATGAAGGAGCCATTGGGAGCAGGAGAGCAGTGAGGCCTGTTTGCCAGGCAGCACTATTGGCCACTTGTGGGGCGGGTTTGACTAACAAAGTCTATGGAGTTTGGCTAGGAAACTGAAGACAGCACCTACAGGTGGTACCTGTGAGCCGCAGGGTAGAGGTGAGGAGCTCCCGAGGGGAGCTGTGTCCCACCCCAGCCTGGGCTGTGCACCCCTGCCCCGAACCAGTCTGCCCCGTCCTCATAGTGTGGAAGTCTGGTCACGGCACAGCCGCACTGGCCCAGGCGGATTCGCTCGCTCGTTGTCATGAGCAGACAGCCCTGCAGGCCAGGCTCTCGGTGCCGGAGCCGGACCTGGCGTGGCCAGTGGCTAGTGGCTGGTGACTCATGCAGCCAGCGTGTACGTAAGTCGAGGCTCCCGAGGCTTTGGGGGCTCCGGGCAGTGGTCACTAGGTGATTCCCACTGCCAGTCAGCAGCCCAGGGCGGCAGGGAGCTGCGTGGGGCTCGGTGCCACCCTGTGGTGTGCCTGCCTGCCTGGTGCTGGGGACGCTGATGGCCCGGGGCGGCTGCCTCCCTGCAGGACCTCCACAAAAAGTACTCGTATATCCGCAAGACCAGGCCCGACGGCAACTGCTTCTACCGAGCCTTCGGCTTCTCCCACCTGGAGGCGCTGCTGGATGACAGCAAGGAGCTGCAGAGGTGAGGGGTGGGCACCTGCCCTGAAGGGGGTGGCGCAGTGCAGGGGCCTTGTGGGCCCCCGCCTCTTCCTCCATGACTAGGGTGTACAGCTCCACCTGAGGGCAGACACTAGGCTGGGCCTCTCTGTTGGCTGAGGAGCCCACGCCCCTCCCTTCCCCCTCTTTCCAGGTTCAAGGCTGTGTCTGCCAAGAGCAAAGAAGACCTGGTGGCCCAGGGCTTCACCGAGTTCACAATTGAGGATTTCCACAACACGGTGAGCCCGTCCTGCTGCCGGAGGCCAGAGGGGGCGGGGCTGCCTGGCCGCGGCGGGGTTGACCATCTCCTCCCTCGTCTTGTCTCTCCGGCAGTTCATGGACCTGATCGAGCAGGTGGAGAAGCACACCTCGGTAGCCGACCTGCTGGCTTCCTTCAATGACCAGAGCACCTCGGACTACCTGGTGGTCTACCTGCGGCTGCTCACCTCGGGCTACCTGCAGCGCGAGAGCAAGTTCTTCGAGCACTTCATCGAGGGCGGGCGGACCGTCAAGGAGTTCTGCCAGCAGGTGCCACCCCCGCTTCTCACGTTCGGACCCTCTTTCCTTCCCTCTCCTCTCGGGGTGGGAGCCCTGGGGGCGGGGGGCTGAGCCCAGGCCCTGAGCCGCCCCTGAGCCGCCCCCGTGCCGCCCCCGTGCCGCAGGAGGTGTGCCTGGGGTTGGTGGGGCTGGAGGAGGGGGCTGAGCCCAGGCCCTGAGCCGCCCCTGAGCCGCCCCCATGCCGCCCCCGTGCCGCAGGAGGTGTGCCTGGGGTCCGCGGGGCCGGGGAGGGGCTGAGCCCAGGCATGACCCGCCCCTGAGCCGCCCCCGTGCCGCAGGAGGTGTGCCTGGGGTTGGTGGGGCTGGAGGAGGGGGATGAGCCCAGGCCCTGAGCCGCCCCTGAGCCGCCCCCGTGCCGCAGGAGGTGTGCCTGGGGTCCGCGGGGCCGGGGAGGGGCTGAGCCCAGGCATGACCCGCCCCTGTGCCGCAGGAGGTGGAGCCCATGTGCAAGGAGAGCGACCACATCCACATCATCGCGCTGGCGCAGGCCCTCAGCGTGTCCATCCAGGTGGAGTACATGGACCGCGGCGAGGGCGGCACCACCAACCCGCACGTCTTCCCCGAGGGCTCCGAGCCCAAGGTCTACCTGCTCTACCGGCCTGGACACTACGACATCCTCTACAAATAGGGCTGGCTCTGGCGCCGCGGCCCTGCTGCCCTCCCCTCTGCCAGGCACTAGACATGTACAGAGGTTTTTGTGTGGTTGTAAATGGTCCTGTTTCACTCCCCCTTCCCTGTCATACAACCCTCCACGTTTTATTAAAGGGGATGCTGGTGGTGAGCCCGTGTGCGTGTCCCTGCTCTGCTGCTGCCGCCTGGTGCTCTGTGTCTGGCTGACACCCCCCCCCCCCCCCCCCGTGGGCTCCTCAGCCCTTCACCTGTCCCCCCAAAGCCTCCCAGCAGTTTTGAGGGGCTAGGCCTCTTGGGGCTCCCTCTGATTGTTGGGGTTCTGCTTCCTTCGTGCCCCCCCCCCCCCCCAGCTGGCCCAGGAAGCTCCTTGGGGGCTTACCCAGGGCCTAGGACCATCGAGGCTTCAAGCTGCCCCTCATAGTCCACCTCCGTCCTGCTGTCCTGCCCGGGGCCCCAGGCCCCAACTGCCTGCTCTCCATCGGGGTCTGCATGTCAGGGAGCACTGGGAGGAGAGGGCCCACATGATGGTGGAACCTGACTCAGCAGGCGGAGGAGCTGGGGTACCTCTGCACCCCCAGGCGACCCCACCTGGTAGGGGGGCAGCCTTCAGGCCTCTGCTTGGTCAGGTCCCCAGGCAGGACTTACCAGGCTGCCATCCCCTGTCCACCCCGGGCCCCTGCCTGTGCCTGCTTGCACCCCTTTGCTTCCGCCCCGGTGTCTGCATTGCTTGCCTTTTTGCCTTGACTTCCTTTTCTCCCCACCCCAGCACATGTGGGGGCTCAATCCCCAGGCTGTGAGCTCCTTGGGGGGCAGGCCCTCAATAAATGTGAAGTACTGCCCACGTGCGCCATCGCCTGGCCCTGAACTCTCACTGCCCTGAGCCTGCACCGGCGGTCCTCCCTCACCCAGTCAGGCTCAGACCGCGAGCTGCAACGGCTGGTCTTTATTAGGCTCCTGTGGAGCGGGGCTGAGGAAGGGATGCCCGGGCCCAGCGGCAGGCTTCAGCACCCTCAGAGCTGGGAGCAAGGTCCAGCAGGCCCCGGCGCGTCCGCGTCTGCGTCTGCGGGCAGAGACAGAGGTTGGAGGGGGTGTGGGCTGGGGCTCCCAGGCCGCCTCCCTGTGGGTGAGCACCAGGGGGAGCGGGCGTGTTAGTGGGCAGGTTAGTGGGCAGCCACACAGCAGGCCAGGCCCTGCTTACCAGTCCTGGTCAGGGTGTGCGACGGGCCTCAGGCTGGAAGGCAGAGGACACTGAGAACCGGCCTGGGGGGTGGGGGCGGGGGTGTGGGGGCGGGGGGTGGGCCTGCCTCAGGTACCTACCCACGGGGAAGTAGTGGGGCAGCCGCTGCAGGTAGATGCTTTCATCCTTCTCCAGGAACACGCAGATGATCAGCCGGTCCACCTGCGCCAGGGCCTGGTCAGCCTCACAGCCACCCTCTCCCGGGTCCCGCCTGGTCACTGTCCCCTCGCCCCTTGGGACGGCCTTCCAGTTAGGCTTCACCCTTCTCAGAAGGGGTCCGTGGTGTGTGAGGGGAAGGAGGGGGTGCAGGAAGGACTGGTGTGGCCAGACACCGTTGGCGATGACGGGGCTGCTTAGTGGGACCGGGGTGCACCCCATCACCCTCCTCCTCCAGCCCCCTCACCCGGGCCCAGCCTCACCTTGTCCTTGTGCTGCTCCAGCCACTCGCGCAGTGCAGCCAGCACTACCTCCGCCGCCGCCTCATTGGGGTAGCCTGGGGACCCCAAGAGAGTGAGTCCGGGTTCTGCCCCGCCCCCTGCCGCTCTGCCACACGTTCAGCTCCCACTACCTGCCCGCCTGCCCACCCCACCCTTTCTCCTCCTGGACCCACTCACCAAACACGCCGGTGGAGATGCAGGGGAACGCCTGGCGGGGAGGGAGGGGAAGGGATAGCGTCACTTCGCCCCGCCCTCCTCGCCCTGCCCCTCACCACCCTCGCCGCTCCGCCCTAGCCCCGCCCCCTCACCGCCCTCACCGCCCCGCCCCTCACCGCCTTTGCCCGCCCCGCCCCCTCACCGCCCGCCCCGCCCCTCACCGCCCCGCCCCCTCACCGCCATCACCACCCCGCCCCTCACCGCCCGCCCCGCCCCCCCCCGCCCCGCTCCTCACCGCCCCGCCCCGCCCCTCACCACCCCGCCCCGCCCCTCACCGCCCCGCCCCTCACCCCCCCTCACCACCCCCTCACTCCCCTCACCGCCCCTGCCCGCTCCGCCCCTCACCGCCCTCACCGCCCCGCCCCTCACCGCCCGCCCCGCCCCTCACCGCCCGCCCCGCCCCTCACCGCCCGCCCCGCCCCGTCCCTCATTGCCTCGCCCCCGCCCTCACCACCCCCTCACCGCCCCGCCCCTCACCGCCCCTCACCGCCCCGCCCCTCACCCCCCTCACCGCCCCTCACCGCCCCGCCCCCTCACCCCCCTCACCCCCCCTCACTCCCCTCACCGCCCCTGCCCGCTCCGCCCCTCACCGCCCTCACCGCCCCGCCCCTCACCGCCCTCACCGCCCTCACCGCCCCACCCCCTCACCCCCCTCACCACCCCCTACCCGCCCCGCCCCTCACCGCCCTCACCACCCCCTCACCCCCCTCACCGCCCCTGCCCGCCCCGCCCCGCCCCTCACCGCCCTCACCACCCCCCCACCGCCCCTGCCCGCCCCGCCCCGCCCCTCACCCCGCCCTCACCGCCCTCACCACCCCCTCACCCCCCCTCACCGCCCCTGCCCGCCCCGCCCCGCCCCTCACCGCCCTCACCACCCCCTCACCCCCCTCACCGCCCTGCCCGCCCCGCCCCTCACCGCCGAGCGCAGCCCGTGCTCCAGCAGCAGGGCGAGGCTGCTCAGGTAGCAGCTGCGGAGCTCGGCGGCCTGGCTGGCGCTGGGCTCCCCGTAGGCGATGGGCCCCACCGTGTGGATGACATCTGCGGGCGGGAGGCGGCCGGGTCAGGGCCGGGTGTCCCTGTGCCTTCGGCTCTCCCCGGCCAGCCTGGCTCTGGAGGGGCAGGAAGGGGCCCTCCCCCTCCGGGTGCCGGGATGCGGCGCACCGAGTGCTCTGGAGCCGAGTGCACCCCGCGATGGACCCCGGCCCCTCCGCAGGTCCGCCCTCAGCGCCCCCTCCCTGTATGCCTGTCCCCCGCAGCCTGCACCGCCCGGGGTGTGGGGCAGGCCCGGTCCCGGCACCCGGGGCTGCGAGGTGCTCCCGGAGAGGAGCCGCCGGCAGCTCCGGGGCCGCACAGTGACCGGCGGGCAGCGCCCCCCGGGCGGGGCGGCGGGACTCACACTTGGCGGGCAGCCGGTAGCCGCCGGTGATCTTGGCCTGGCCGGTCTCGCAGTTCTGCAGGGTCCGGCACTCGTCGGTGAGCAGCGGCCCGGCGGCCCGGTGGATGCAGCCGTCCACTGCGGGGAGGGGCAGTGAGCTGGGCTCCCCGCGTCCCCCAGCCCATTGTCCGGAGGGGAAGGCTGAGGCCCACACTGAGCGGTCCGGGCCCCTCGATGGTGCTGGGGCCCCGCGGGCACCCGCCTTTCCCCCGCGGCTGCCAGCCGCTCCGCCGCCCCCGCCCCCCTACCCCCCACCCCCCCGTGCTTCCCCCGGGAGACACGGAGGCGCGGAGAGCGGCGCGGCCGGAGGAGGCGGCGCGGCCGGCCGGCAGGGGGCGCGCCAGGCCCGCGCTGCTCTCCGGGCGGACGGCGCGGGCGCGGGCTCTGAGCCTGGGGTCGGGCCGCAGGTGCCGCTACAGGCCTGGGCCAGGGGTAAGTTCTTCCCACCCCAGGTCCACCCCCCGAGGCCAGGCTCCCGGGCCTCGCCAGCTCTGGGTCCACTTTACAGACGAGGAAACTGAGGCCACTGGTGACCAGTGTCAGATCCAGCCCGGGCCTGGAGCTGGTCCTCGGCCCCTCGGGGCGCACCTGCTCAGTAACAAGCCGCCTCGTTAGCGATCTGCCCTAATTGGGGCCGCCGGGCCTGTTAGACCGGGAGCCGGAGCCAGAACGGAGCGGCTCTGGGGCCGGGCGGAGGCTCTGGGGGCCGCCCGGCTCAGGTAAACAACCCCGGGGGCGTGGCGGGCGCAGAGGCGGCTCCCCTTCAGCCCCCTCCCTGTGCCAGGGCCTGGGGGAGGAGAGGCTCAGCGTCAGGCAGGCCAGGGCCAGGGCCAGGGCCAGGCTCCCCCTCCCTCCCGGTGCCCATGGGGCAGGCTGGACAGTCCTTTCCTGAGTGCCCGCTGCTTCATCTGGAAAACTGGGGCTGTGACCTCCCCTGGGGCGGAGCTGGTGTCCTGGCCTGGAGGAGACCTGTCGCTCCCCGGAGAGGCCAGAGGGCCGGGAGCTCACAGCGCTGGCAGCGGGCAGGCCCACCGTCTCTCCATGGGCCCTGCCTCCTCCATCGCAGCCCCACCCCCAACCTGGGCACAGGCTCAGGAACACCAGGTGGACCCCCCCCCCTGCCTCTGGGGCGGGGGAGGGTCCCAATTAAATTGAACTTTGCGGCTTTACTCTGAGCTGACATTTCCCAGAGCACCCCATCGGTGGGGAGGAGAAGGGGGACCTGGGGGCTTTGGAACTGGGCAGGGATCGGGCCGCTGCAGCCCATGGGAGGCGCGGAGAGTCTGGGGCTGAGGGGGTGCTCGGCCTGGAGTGTACGGGGTGCCCCGGGCAGTGCCTGCTCCGGGTGGAGGTGCCCGGTGACCCCCAGCAGGAGCTGGGAGCTGGGTGCTGGGTTCAGATCCCAGCCCCGAGGTCACAGATGTGTGGGGTGCAGCCTCTCTGTCTAATGAAACGCTAGCAGGCAGCCACCTGGCAGGGCTCTTGGGGGACAAGGCGAGTTAGCCTGTGGTGTGGGTAAGCAGAGCCGGCACGGGTGCAGGTGCGTGTGGCCGCTGTATTCTCGCAGGGCGGAGTGACAGGCTGGGCACGCGCGGCGCGCACACTGAGAGTGCGGGGAGCAGGCGTCCGGCTCAGGGCGTGCAGGGCTCAGGGCTCAGGGCTCAGGGCGTGCAGGGCTCAGGGCTCAGGGCGTGCAGGGCTCAGGGCTCAGGGCGTGCAGGGCTCAGGGCTCAGGGCTCAGGGCGTGCAGCGCTCAGGGCTCAGGGCTCAGGGCACAGGGGTGAGCGCAGGGACGAGGCTGAGCCAGCTCCCCGGGGACATCCCCGTCCTGCCCAGCAGTGCCGGCCACTTGGCGCTCAGCTGCCCGGCCTGCGGGTGACCTGGGCCTGCGGCGGAAGTGGAGCTCACTGAGATCCGTGCTTCAGGGGTTTAATGTTTCCTGCAGCGCGGCCAGGCCCGCCGCCAGGCCTTTGGGGCTGACCCGGGGGCAGGAGGCGGAGGCAGAGTGGTAGCTGGCCGAGGCCCCGGCTGGAGCCTCCTCAGCAGAACGGGGTCCGGCGGCCAGGGGAGCAGTTCCCTCCAAGCAGAGATGAGGGAAGGGCCTGGGCACCTCCCTGGCCAGAGCACCCCGCACCCCTTTTCTTTATCCCTTTCCCCATCCCCTGCCACCTCCCTCTCCACACTCCTCTCAGTGCCAGGGGGTCTGCTGCTTGGCAGAGGCTCAGGCCTGGCTTGGCCTGGGCTCCTGCTAGGCCCAGCGAAGCCCTGGAGGCTGCAGGAGGCGCTTCCGGAGGCTCCATCCGAGAGTTCCCTCCCCTTCCTGCTGACCTGGCACGCTGGGAAAGCTCTGGGCCTGGCCCTGGGCTCCTGTGGGAGGGGATGTCCCCAGTTCATACCGGTTGGCCCCTCAGTCCCCTCCCTGGGCCTCTCAGAAGTGGACAGGCTGCAGCTGTCTGGGGGCCGTCTGCCCTCTGCTCCGGCCTGCCCTCCCAGGCCCCCCACCCCCAGACAAGCCCAGTGCTCTGCTTGGGAGCCCACCAGCCCTCCTGCCGACGGTGTGGCCTCCACACCCCCACCTCGGCCTTCAGCTCGGCCAGCCCCTCGGTCAGCACAGGCCAGGCTCTGGCAGGGCCGCCCAGGAGCAGGGAGGGCGCGGGCAGAGGGCAGGCTGCAGCCTGGCATCCTTGTAGCCAGGCAGGCAGGCTCCTGTGGGGCCATTTGCCAAGGTGCTTAGGATCTGTTGGCCGCTATTTAGGGTGCTGTAATATTCATGAAGGAAAGATTAGATATTTAAATTTATTCAGCAATAAATGCATCTCAGTGGGAGAGCATTCCTCATGCTAAACAAACAAGCAAGCAGGGGCTAATTAATTATTTACAGGAACCAGAGGAGGCCTTGGCCTGGGGGAGACCCTGACTGGCCCTGGGCCTCTCCCTCCACCCCCTCCTCTCCCCTCCACTGTCTGGCGGCTCTGGCCACTGCACACCAATTCTGGCGTTTCTCTTCCCAGAAACCCTGCCCACAAGCTTTTTGGTGGCTTTGGGCACGTCACTTGACCTCTCCAAGCCTCAGAACTGGCCCAGAGGGCTGTGGGAGGACTGAGATGCGCTGAGTGGCAGCCTGGGGGGAGGGACTGAAGGCCAGAGTCATTTAGCACCTTGTCCAAGGTCTCTCTCCTGTCAGAGGCTGCAGCTCAGAGTCCGAGGCAGGAGCAGGGACCGCAGCTCCTGGAGGCAAAGCTCCCGCCATGGCCATGGGGGTGTGTGTCCCTGCCTGTGCGCCCTCAGCCGCCCTGCTCTGCCCAGGCTCCTGTCAGCCCCGGGCAGGAAGGCAGAGGCCGGGCCTGGGGAGCACCCTGGGGGTGGGGAGAGGTATCTCTGTGTCTCTGAATGGAGCTGGCTGGGGCTGTGAGGGCAGAGCTGACCCAGCCCAGTGAGACCCAAGTCCCTCCCCCAGCTCCGCCCTCCTTTCTGCATCACTTCAGCTCTGTGCCTCAGTTTCCTCAGCAAGGTCAGTGACAGCACCTTCCTCCAGGGTGGGCCTGAGCATCCAGTGAGAGAATGTACCAATGTGCCCTGCCCTTTATCGCACTGTCATCCCATTTCACAGACGGGGACACTGAGGCCCAGTGTTGGGGATTGGGGCTGAGTGACATGGAGACTGCTGGAGCCCAGCTGTTCCTTTTAAAGAGCTGGCACACAAACTGAACTTACAAGGTCCTGCTTCTTCTGAGCGCCAGCGCCAGGGGAGGCTCTGGGGGACCAGACACATATGAGGAGGAACTGGATTGGCTGGCATCGGGGCATGAACTCAGTGGCTTTGTCCCAGGCGGAGGCGCTGGCCGGGGTCGTTGTTCCCATGCTGGAACCTCCCAGGTAGCAGGGCTGACTGGTAGCCATTTCTGTTTGTTCTGCTCTGGTGATTCCCGGAGACCCTGCCCCATCCATTTTGCAGCTCCACCCAATCTGATTGCAGCAGCTTTTGCATATAAAAGGCCTGTCCTGGCTCAGGCTTCAGACTTAGCTAAAATCTCTTAAACAAGATGCAGTTGGCTCAGCAGGCCCCAAACCTATCAGCGAAGGGCCCAAGATCCTGCACTAACACAAGCCTGCCTTGTTTTACAGCTGGGTCTCATCTGGGCACCTCCAAGCCCATACAGATAGCACCTGCAGGGCGGTCCCAGGCAGTGGCTGGCTCTGCACCTCGCTGGAGGCCCAGTGAACAGCTCCATGAGACTTTCAGGGATCTTAGTGAGAAGGTCAGAGTCAGAAATTAAGCATGCACTGACTGAAAGGGTAACTTAGAGGGATTCAATAATAGAGTAGAGGAGTCTGAGAAGCAAATCAACAATGTGGAATATGAGGAAGCAAAAAACACCCAATTAAAAGAGAAAAAAAATCCAAAAATATGAAGATTGTGTAAGGAGCCTCTGGGACAACTGCAAGCGTACCAACGTTCGAATTATGGAGGTGCCAGAAGGAGATGAGAGAGAGCAAGATATTGACAACCTATTTGAAGAAACAACAGGAAACTTCCCCTCCCTGGTGAAAGAAATAGACTTACAAGTCCAGGAAGCACTGAGAACCCCAAACAAGAGGGACCCAAAGAGGACCACACCAAGACACATCATAATTAAAATGCCAAGGGCTAAAGGCAAAGAATCTTACAAGCAGCAAGAGAAAAGCAGTTCCCTACAAGGGAGCACCCATAGGACTGTCAGCTGATTTCTCAACAGAAACTAGGCAGGCCAGAAGGGAGTGGCAAGAAATATTCAAGAACCTACAACCAAGACTACTCTACCCAGCAAAGCTATCATTCAGAATGGAAGGTCAGACAAAGAGCTTCACAGATAAGAAAAAGCTTAAAGAGGTCACCACCACCAAACCGAAATCACCACCAGAATGTTGAAGGGTATTATTTAAGAAGAACAGATTTAAAAAAATATGAACAATAAAACGGCAACAAATACATCTCTATCAACAATGCATATAAAAATAAGAAATCTAAGGAACAACATAAACTGGTGAATAAGACAGAATCAGAAGCGTGGACACAGGAAGCAGACTGATGAGTGTCA